CTCATTTAAGATTGGTATATTTTGCGACGCATAAACGCAAATACGCAATATTATTATTGCGTACTAATAGCTCCGTCCGATCGTCCGAGAAAAGTAACTACTTAAAGCACTTGAGTGCTGGTCGCTCTCTACATTTTATTCATACTCTATTTTTATCTGAAAGACTTCAAATGTATATTTTAAATACTACAATTAAAATTTTGAAAATCAGACTGATCATATTCGCAAAATTTTGTCTTCTTTTAAATAAAAAAAAAAAATGATTAAATCCGACTATTCTAGTGTTCTACAGGGCGTAACAGTTTTTCCAGTATGTTTTTGTATTAGAAACGCACAGACTCTGTAGCCCGTAAAGATATGAATTATGAATTGTTATAAAAGCTTCAAGCATATAGTAATATAGTATTACCAGATTACCTGATTGTAATTAATTTAACTTTTTTTAAATTTTATTTAAGCGATTACGGATATAGATAGAATATAGATAGGCCTATATCTATGCATTTGAAATTGAGGGGAGGGGGGTAAAGTCATACTAAACTTGATACGGATTTATGGAATGTTTTTTTGTGGCATTCTAATATAATATAATATAAACTAAGAGGTCTGATAAATAAATAATTATAAAAATATTATAACATAATATGATCAGCCCCCCACTAAAACCCACGTTACACCTTACACCTATATGACGTGGACATGTGGCCTGTGTAATACATTTTCCCGCCCTGAATTTTTCTCCCAGACCGTCCCTGGTACACCAAAACTTTTTTTATAATTAAAATTTCTTTACAAGTTTCTTAAATATAATAGATATAAGTTATAAAAATTTAAATAAGCAATACGTATATGATTTAAGTTATAATATTTAGGGAACTGCTCTAGTAAAAAAGTGTCAGGAAACGGCATTCAATTGCAAAATTATTAAAACCCATCAAAACCCATTTAAACCGAACCGGGTCGGGTTTTTGAACCTCGGTTTTTACTTTTTAAGTATTATTTCTATAAAATAAGCTATTAATTGTACCTAATACCCTAAGTACCTACTTAAATATGGTTTACCAGTTTTTTAAAAAAAAGGTGATGTGGTTGATAAGACACCCAAATCCCCCCCCCCATAATTACGCATTTACGACACTGTAGAAATGGTTAAAACTTTAAGCTCCCCCCACCCTATTGACTAATAAAAGTGTAAGCCAGAATAATATCACCTCTGAACGAGGTAGCAGGTACCTAAATAGAGTATAGACATACCTTCCGATTTCTATGTACCCTCAAAACTTACTATACAGCGACTATACAGCGACTTCCCCAGTTTTTAAAACGAAAGACGCAAGTTAGGCTGAAATGAACATTTTGTAAGAAAATTGATTTTCCAAAAATTGAATGACTACAATATTTTTGATTTCATTTAAAAATTATTTTCAAGTGTTAATCTGTTATTTTCAAAAAATAACGTGTATCGATCCTCAAATGAATCACTCTGTATAATAAGTAACAACTGAATAAGGTACAATATAAGGTAAACAAAATACAATGACGTATTATCATCATTTCGGTCCGCGGTTACTACATACCACGATTAAAGATAAGATGGTTACTCAACGAGCCCTAATATTCATACAATATATGATTCTTAAATATTCTTTTCAATTTCTGTTGATAAGAACTGTGCATTAGCGCTCCAAGTGGCGAACACGGGTGTTAATTCCCCGCCAATTTATTCAATTTATAAGTTTATAACCTGACTTTACATTTATAATAATTATAATATATGATAATTATATAATTATGATATATATATATTATATAATAATTATAATTTACAAGTTTATTTTAATTTTACAACACTTTTTAGCACACCTTTCCACCTAATTTGGTAACTAAAATGAAGTGTTGTGTACCCAACTGTGTTAATCAACACAAATCTTCTTTTATTGTGCCTAAAAGTGAAATTAGGTTGAAAGAATGGCAGTCTATTCTAGGTATAAACTTAGAAAAACAATTTAGAGTTTGTGCATCACATTTTAATAAAAGTGACATCATTGATACGTGGGAGTCTGGACAAGGCTTTTCCAAATACACGGTAAGTTTAGTATCTATAATATACAATATACATTAATTAACTTTAGTTATCTACATCGTTTAATGACAACTAGCTGTATATGCTATTCTATATAGTAATAGGTAATAACTAGGTAGTTAATTTTCAATATATTATAGACAGGTATTAAATATTTTAGGTGTGTTTAAAACGACCTAAATTGAGAGAAGGTGCCGTTCCATTTCTCATTAATAGTGACACATCAATGCAAAATGTTCAGGTATTAATGTATTATTGTACTCTAATAGTCTTTTAAACCGACGATTTCCTGCAGAAGGAATAAGAAAGAATAGTCTTGATTTAGAGGTTTCTTATATGTGAATGCCTGTGTTTTAGTGTTGCATGCTTAAAATTATAAATAACTTAATACTGTGGAATTCTTCTTTATAATATTTAACATTTATAATTTTTTTTTTTTGATGGAATGTGTTAAAATCTTTACCTATTTTTTTAATGTTTGTGTCTCAAATTGTTCTTTATTATACTTATTATATGTTTAATATTTTAATTTATTTTTACTCTGTAGATTTTAAAACAAGGATTATCATGGTTATCAAAATGGGAATCAAATGTAAAAAACAAATTGATCCATGAAAATGAATTTTTAACTAGAGCTACAGCTGATGGATTGAGGATAACTTTACAATCTACGATTGATTTAACAAGATATTTATTAGAAGACTGTGGTTTTGATTATGTTTTGACTGCCAAATTAAATCAGAATAATTTGGAAGTAAAATAATTTTAATTTAAAAAATATTTATTAAATATAATTATATTATATTGTGTGTTTGTATGGTATAATATTCAGAAATTTTTCGGCATTGTAAGGCAAGTTTGTGGTCCAAATGATCATCCGACCTGTCCAACGTTCCTGCAATTGTATAGAATGCTTTCTGTACACTCTCTTATAAAACCACCAAAATCTGGCAACTGTACAATATTTGAAGGTACTAGCTCTTATTAAAAAGTATTGCAAATTTATTTAATTAAATATGTGTTTTGCTATTAGAAACGAATAATCACATAACAGTAGCAGATTTAAAAAACATAATAAATTATCCATTAAATCAATCAGCCAGAGAACAAAAGCTAATAGAATTGAAAAAAAAAATAGAAATTATTGTTAATGAAGGTAGCAGTGAGTTAGAAGATATTCTTGAGTTAGAAGCAAATAATTTTTCAAATTCAACAATTTTCGATTGTACTGTTTATTTTTTAGCCGGGTAGGTATTAATTTGTATCAAGATAAATATGAGAATAAATTGTTAATATACTTATACTAATAACAATTTTTATTTTCAGATATATAGCAAAGCGTTTAATCAATCAAACTAAATGTAATATTTGTATAAATGGTTTGAAAAATTTTGGTGGTAGTACTTCAGCAGAAGCTGATTTAGTAAATTTAAAGTCTAGAGGTTATTTAACTCATCCGAATCAAAACCTGTTCTTGATGCTGAGAAAATTAGAAGAATGTTTCAAAAAACACGCAGACTCCATTCATGTTTTTGAAAACACATTTGAAGATTTTTTATCCACCCATTCTAACATTAATTTTCCGTGTACTACTCATGAAACAGAAATCCTTACCGATATATGCAGTACATTTATTATTATGAGAATGAGACAATTTACATACATTAAAAATCAGATGTCCAAAAAACAAAATAAAACTAAAAAGAAATTGTCCAAATTAGTAGCTACATAATTAATAGTTAGTAAAAAGAAGATAATTTAATTTTAAAATTGTACTTGAAGTATGTAGCTCTAACTAATAATGTTAACAAATATATATTGTAATTATTTTTAAATGTGTACATATTCAACTTTTTATATGAGATATAATTTAAAAAAAGAGAATGAATCAAATCTATTTGCAAATTACTAGGTATTATTAAATTGTAAAGGTATTACGAACATCGTTTATTTAAATTATTTTATTACTTTCCGCGCCCCACGAAATTATTACGATATACGATAGTTGCTTAAATTCACCACTTGGATCGCTATACTTCAGTTCTGTGATTAAAAGAAATTATGAGTTACACCTTATCATAGCTTGTTGGGTAACCATCTTATCTTTAATCGTGCTACATACCCGTCCTTTATCGTCCGTTATCTACAAACGGTAGCTCATCAGTTATCAGCCACTTTCCGTATGAACGTGTTATTTATATCATGCGCACACGCACACACCAATTACCGTATGCCAGTAGTTGTAGGCAGTAGCACACTGATAGCGTTTTGGGGCAACGAACAAGCAGGCAGCAAGCTCCGGCCGAGTCGCTAAGATTTAATTTACCTGGCTGGCGGACGACCGATATACTGTTGTTATATAGTGTCGCACTGTCAGTTATCGGCGGCGGGTCTGAACAGTTAAATTCCGAAGCTCGCGTCCGCGACTGTTCTGCCAACGACCGAACGACATCGCCGCCGCCGAACGTTTTACGTCGGTCACGCTCGCCGAGTGCTGACGTCCGCTAGCACACCATGCAGTCTGCGCCGTCGGGCCCAACGTCGTCCCAGTGTCGATTGTGACGTACTTGTAAGTATTTATTGCTTCTTTTATTACCTGTTTTTTTTTTTGTTTGTAAATATTTCCTGGTTAACTACCCAATGCGCAGCTGTAATCGGTTTGAGGATATGTTACGAACCTTCCCAATTCACCGTCTTTAAATGGGAGACAAAATAATATAGTGTCATATTATTATACTGTCTTTGGGAGACAGGTTTAGTGATGAGAATGTATCGTAGTTTTGTTGATTTAGTGCCAAACAGTGTATCATACATAACCGATCAATATGACAACAATCATCGTCGTTCGTTTTGCCTGTCATACAACTGATGTTGAGAACTGAGTCTTCCCACAATTGGCCGGTGTTGGGCGAGTGTCATGGTTGCCTGCACGGTTTCATTTCTATTGTGGATAGTCGCATTACAATGGATTTCAGCTCAAGACTATTCTTCTCAGTGGGCGGCTCACATCGAAGGTGGATTAGAAATAGCCAAAAGAGTAACAGAAAAACATGGATTCGTTTTGCTAGGGGAGGTAAATGATTTTATTTTATTTATTCAATCCACATCCAACTCTCCATAGAAAACGTTTTACAGAATATGTACATTAAAACTACCTATAAAATTGTCTATTGATCCCAAAGCTTAAAATTGAATTAACAAACATCTCTGTTGTAATACTAAATATATAAACATTATATTAAGAATTTGAAACTAGTTAAAAAAAAATAGACCTGTTGTAAATTGTAATTTACCTATTACAACATTAAGATTTGAAAAAAAAACTGAAAAGTACTTAGTATGAATATTATTAGGTAGGCTTATAATGGTTCTTACTACCTCTTAGTTAGCATAAATAACTAGGTTAAGCTATTAATATAAGGAAAAAGTCAAATGAAATTTGGTGGTCAGTAAGTTGTTAGTTGTACGAATGCAAGTATTTTTAAATAAAGTAGTAATATTGTTTATTTTGTTTCTGTCTTTTATATATGCATTTGTAGTCCTTTGGGTATACCTACAAGGGTTGGGTACAACAATTTAATTAACCAGTATTAAAATAAAACCCATATTTTCTACATTAATATAAAATCCATTTTAAAATATAATAATATAGTTCCATTGAATACATTGTGGATGAATTTGTGTATTTAATTTGTTTACCGTCTATTGCTTAAACATAATTTACTCTACTTGGTATAAATGTTCCTTACTTATTCCAACATGTGTATGAAGTGTAGTTTTAAATTAATATTGTAATATAGGTATTATCATTATTTATTTTATGGCAAAATCATAAAATAAACCCAATCCAAACCTATTGTCCACCTTTACTCTTTAGACTGTGACAGTATGACCTATTATATATCAATAGCCTTTAATTCATTTTTAGAACTTGACCAACTTAACTATTTACATGTAGTTGCTTACCACTTATTAAATGCTGGTGTTATCAAGCACTTATACATTTTTTATGTAATGTAAATTGGATGGCTAAAATGTACTCATAAAAAATAATTTACTAATTTATGAACATACTATTCAATACTATTCCGGGTGATTTACCAAGCATGCTCACCCACTTTTTTCCTTTAGTAACAAATTTATTAAAATACTGAATTTTGGCTTTTATTATTTTATATTATATTTTTTAATATACTTAAAACCATTCTCAAATTCTCATGATTTTGTGTTAAGGGGTGTCCTGTGACGATACTGACTTTTGTTTTTCAAATGAGAACCCCATTTTTTGGAGGTTACTGTGAATTATTTAAAAGATATTATTTTTTTGAAAAAGTAGTTTCTTCGTTATTGAAATGTTTAAAATAAGAATAGTTCTTAAAATGATTTTAGAAAAATAATATAGATCTGTTATTGTATTTATTATACTTACCTAGGCCATTTTTACGAATTATAAATGTTGATAGGTTAATATTAACTACTAAAATTATAAAAAAAACCACAGTCCCGCCATTAGCATGGACCTAGTATCCTTAGTTTTCTAAGCTAAATAACTCAAAACTATTAGTTCTAATTTTGATATGGTGCTTCCACTAAATAATTTACAGTAGAAAATGTAATTTTTATTAGAAAAATAGAAGTTTGTATCTCCACAAGATACTTCTTAAGTAGTACAAGAAATCTCAAGAATTTGAAAATATGGTCTTTAATTACCTATATTTAAAAATCAGATTTTGAATAACTGCATCATTGGAGAAAAAATGTGTTGAGCATGCTTGGTGCATGTAACCTCCCAATATAATAACTCTATGCAGGCGCGGACTGGCTGAGATGCTGGGATGCTACAGCATCCCTTGCTGTAAAATATATTTGCCTAATATTATTTATTATATATTTAAAGACTCTAGACACCTAATTAAGAGCAGATTGTTACCAACTTACGATTACTAGTAATTTATAATATTGTACAATTTTGATTGAAAGTTTGTTATAACTTGATACTTATTTACGTTTTTAACGTATATTCAATATTTTTTTAAAACAAAATAAAATATATTAATATTTTATAAATAATCTACATGTACTAAATTTGCCCCAACCATTTTTGGTATTTGCCCTTTAAATTGTGTAGCATCCCATGCCCTATTTTACCAGTCTGCGCCTGACTCTATGTATGTATGTACAGAATGTTTTCTATTATTATTACTTTACCAATTTTATTTAAATTTGAAGTTTTGAAACTTTCATTCCAAATGATATGAAATATATTTTTGATATTTTATTAAATATATAGGTACCAACATTTTAAGAAGTTTATAACATAAATTTAAATATAATACCAATATTTCTACTAAAATAAAATATATTTAATAATAAACCACTTCTTAAAAAAAAAACATAAAACTCAACACAGGTTACAAAATCAATATCTACCAACTGTTTATGAAACCTATCCATTCCTATGGAATTCAATTATAGTTATTATTATTATTATTTTAATAATTGCAGTCATAAATTCTAAGAATGATATTTTAAAGTTCTATTATATACCTCCAATAAACATTACGAATAGTGAGAATAATATTGATCTTAAAATTCCAACTGTTAAAGTAAATGCTAAATACACCTAGGTAATTAATTATTATACCACGCAAATGCTCTTCTCCGCTCAACTCCATTAACTTCGACTGTCTCGTCTCAAAAAATATAATTATCTAATATATCAATGATGTAGAAATCTGTTATTTAGTACCTATAATATTTGTACAGATTGTATCATAAAAAAAAACAATATATACATAAACAAATTATTTCAGATTTTTCCAGACTATTATCATCTAGAACACAATCATGTATCGAAGCGATCAGTTAACCCAGGGCTTGAACATCATAAAAAACTAACATCAGAACAAAATGTAAGTACATAAATTTATTATTTAGATGCTATTTATATTTTTTCACTAGAATATGATGTTAAACTTATATAATATCAATTATTTTTATTTTGAGATCTATGTAAAATAGTTCTTAATTTTGTTTTTAATGGTTTCTTTGGCTCTATATTAGGTTTATGAGGTAGAAATATTTTGTTTTTTCGTGGAAATGTTGGTGTTACAGTAGGCTGTTCTTCATTTGTTGATCTATTTTCCATTTTGAATACATTTATTGGAATGGTATTTGTAATATTTGTTAGAATTGGATTGGTGTTCACGTTATTGTTTTGATTATTTAAAATACTATTTTGCTGATATAAATAATTATAATAATTAAAGTATTGTTCATATACTTGATTATAATATGATTGTTCTGCTCCGATATTGGTGGATTTCCACTGTTCAGTATCAATAGCAAACTAAAAAATATACGTATAAGTTAAAAATGATATAATACTAAACATTTTTTTTAATTTTTAAATTGTGTTTATATGTAATAAAAATAAATTAAACATAGATAACTAGACAGATGTCTGTTTGAGTTTTCAAAACAAACTAGCTGTGTGTTTACAAATTCAGATTTTAGACTTTGGTAATTTTTTTTTTTTTTGGTGGTTCAATATGAAAAAAATTAAACCTATCATTAAACAATCCTTAGGCAAATAAATATAGCTAAATTAGTATAATACATTTTTTAAATCTGTACTAATAATAACATGACAATTTTAGGTCAATAAATTATTTTATGTATTAAATATACTAATATACTAAAATATGTACTATATTATCCTTATTTGTATTTAATTTGATTAGACATGTAAAATATATTCAAACTTATCTAATATTTAAGAAATAATTTATAATAGGTAGATAATTATGAGATCTCTCATAAATATTTACATACTTACACACTATTCTGTAAATTATATGTTAACACAAAAATAATTATTTAAATGAATATGCTACCAATAGTATATATTATATATTATATATTATATCAACAACAATGTTACTAATTTACTATACCTGGTTAAATGACAGTACTGCTACAACACAATTTAAAAACAAAAGTGGTATTGAATTCATGTTGACTGTTGAGTGTTACTATTTGTGGTCTAGCCCATAAATGAAAAAATTGTATGCACTTTTACATGTATATATATACATACTCTCTGTATTATAACTTATCTTAAAATAAACAACATATTTATCTCTTTTTCATTCTCTAAACAAACATTTAAAGAAAAATGCCAAATCATTAAATTTGTCACGTAGAAAATAATCAATTGTTTATTATTATTTTTTCAGGTGAAGTGGGCAAAACAACAAACAATTTTAAGTCGATCAAAAAGAGACTACTTAACTTATGTTAGAGATAGCAGGAGTTCAAAAAGATTTGCAATTAAAGGGGGATTAAATGATCCAAAATGGCCAAAAATGTGGTATTTGGTAAGTAGTTTATAGTAGAAAATTTTTTGAATTTATATTTTGAAATGTTTTATTTATTATTTATGAAACCCATAACATGTTATTTAATAATTTGAATACTTTATAATCTATATAAATCAAAGCATTGGGTATTAATAGTATTATGATATACAAACATTGTATACATTGTTATTTATGTTTTACCTTGCCTAATGCTAAATTATATGTAATGACCTTGTGGCATACTATACATGAATGGTTTTCATTTCCTGTATCTACTTTTTCAATGTTAATTATTAGTTATAACTTAAATTAATAATCTTATCAATTTTGATACATTTATACCATTATAATATGAATAACCTTCTAAAATTTAATATTATTTAGAATCGTGGGAAAGATATGGATATGAATGTTCAAGGTGCTTGGGAAGAAGGGATTACAGGAAAAGGATCTGTTGTTACAATATTAGATGATGGCTTAGAAAAAGACCATCCAGATTTAATAAAAAATTATGTAAGTTTGTTTAAAAAGGCAGTTCTTGTTAATTCTATATTATTAACTATAATTAAATATCCCATTGTTAAATGTATGATTGGTAGGATCCCTCAGCTAGTTATGATATGAACAATAGAGATGAAGACCCAATGCCTAGATATGATCAAATGGATACAAACCGTCATGGTACTAGATGTGCAGGAGAAGTGGCAGCAACTGCCAACAATTCTCTGTGTTCAGTTGGTGTTGCCTTTGGTGCGAGTATAGGTGGGGTTCGAATGTTAGATGGGGATGTGACAGATGCAGTTGAAGCTCGATCTCTAAGTTTAAATCCTCAGCATATTCATATCTATAGTGCATCATGGGGTCCAGACGATGATGGTAAAACTGTAGATGGACCAGGTGAATTAGCCACTCGAGCTTTTCTTGAGGGTATATCAAAAGGCCGTGGTGGTAAAGGATCAATATTTATATGGGCATCTGGTAATGGTGGCCGTGAACATGATAATTGTAACTGTGATGGATATACAAATGCTATTTGGACATTAAGTATCAGTAGTGCGACACAAAATGGTCATGTCCCTTGGTATTCTGAAGCTTGTAGTTCAACTTTAGCAACAACGTATAGTAGTGGAAGTAATTATGAAAGCCAGGTAATAAAAAAATTTATTATTACGTAACTTAAAATTATTTATTGAATATTTTATAAAATTATAGATCATTACAACAGATCTTCATCATGAATGTACTAGTAATCATACTGGTACATCTGCATCCGCCCCACTAGCCGCTGGGATAGTAGCTTTAACATTAGAAGCTAATAATAAACTAACTTGGAGAGATATGCAGCACATTGTAGTGTTAACAGCTAGGCCAACTCATTTATTAGCTTCTGATTGGATTATAAATGGTGTTGGACGAAAAGGTATTTTTACATAACAGAATTAAATCATTAATTCTTACTTGGTTATGAACATTTTTAACAATATTTTTTAAAAAAATAGACATTTTATGATAAGTAATTATTATATATTAATAGGAAAAAATAAATAAAAATTTGTAGATTCAAGCAGATTAGGAGTAATAAATAAATAAATAAAGGCTATAAATTGCTAAAGTTGATTAATCTTACTTTCATATTTTTATTTTATTATTTATTTATTTTAGTGAGTCATTCTTTTGGCTATGGTTTAATGGATGCTACTACGATGGTAAGATTAGCTCGAAAATGGAAAACTGTTCCACCTCAACATATTTGCAATGTTACTGCTCAAGTTTTTGAAAAGTATGTCTGATTAAATACATTTTTATTTTTGCTTAATAAATTATTTACTTAAAATTGTTTATTGTTTAAATTATATTACAGACCAGTACCTGCACGTAGCACAGTCACTATACAACTTTTAGTTAAAGAATGCAATAGTGTAAATTTTTTAGAACATGTTCAAGCTAAAATATCATTAACAGCTAGTCGACGGGGTGATATCAAAATTGATTTAACTTCTCCAAGTGGTACAAAATCGACACTACTTGCTCCAAGAACTCATGATAATTCACATGCTGGATTTCATGTGTGGCCATTTATGACTGTACATATGTGGGGAGAACGTCCTTTTGGTACTTGGCAATTGACTATTCATAATGAAGGAAAATTATTAGGTAAAAATCAAATTAATTAATTAAATTCACTGTATTATTGTAACTTTTTTTTAAAAACAAAATGTCCAGTACTGTGGATGAGGTTAACTAGATATTTATAATCATAATAATCATAAATAATAATACATTTAAAGTATGTACATATTAATACACAATATTTTTAAATATATCATTTATCAAAGTTGTATAATTAACTAACAATCTATTGCCACTTATAAATTGATGTGCTTTAGGTCGATCTTCTTTACACGAGTGGTGTTTGATATTGTACGGTACTAAATATTCCCCAAGGACATTATCTCCTACTATCTATCCAGTGGAACAGCCACCCAAACCAATTCCCCGAAGGAATTCCAAAAATACAAAAAAAAAATCAAAAAAAAGTAAATCGCAAAAACAGTCTACCACTCCAGTTAGTACCCTCATAAAACAAAGTGTTTCCAGTTATAAACCAAATGTTCATATCGTTCTTTTTCCTATTAAAAATTCATCCAAATTATCTCCTACACTAACAGACAACATCCAAACGTATCCTAGCAGCCATAGACTCTACAGTTTACAAAATGTGGATGGCAGGCAGACAAAAAAAAATTTGTCGCCTGAAAGAAACATATCACCTACAACTACAGGCAAGAATGTCAGCATGGAAATCACCATTTTCTTTGCATGCCATGCTATAATTATACTTGAATAAAAAATATAGGTATCATTTATTATTTTGCTTATTTTGGTAAAATAAATTCCTTTTTATTTTTAGCACATCATAGGGTATTAGTTGTATTTGTGTAGTCATATAATATTATTAATTTATTAATTTGGTTGTGTTGAATAATTTTAGTTTATAATAAAAAGTATATTTTTATTGCACATTTTTTCTTAAGTTGAAAAATACATTTGATAACATATTTATAATTATTTTTTAGTTAGTTAATAAATTATACAAAAGGTCTTCTTATGCATAATATGAGAAGAATAGTTATATTTATTACTCAAAATTAATTTAAAATTGATGCTTATCACTTTAAAATATTATAGTTCATCTGTAAAGTATTTAGATTTTTGTTTAAAGTTGAAGCCTATTTAGCAACTGATCATAATTTAAATTTCATTAATTTGATTACTTGTATTTCCCTTTTATTGCAAATCACAATTTATTTTTTTTATTTGATCATATATTTATAATAATACATGGTGATCTGATTAAATAAATAATTTGATTTAACATTTTGTTTGCAAGTTCCTCATTTTACTTTATATTTACCTACTTAATTTACTTTTATTATTATATTTGTATTTATAATAAAATAATCAGTAATTGTTTATGTGAGTATGTCATTACTTATGCTACAATGTCTATTTTTCATATTATTATTTATAAAATATGTTTTCAAATATTTATTCATATTTAATAGTTGTAGAAGATAATATTAAAGTTTTGCAATTTTTAGTTGGCACTTATGTTGCAAAATGTATAGTTCATATTTGATATTTTGATAATTATAGTTGTTTGATTTTTATTTAACTAACAGTTTTATAGACCGTGTTTAATAAATCCACTTATACATTTTTGGTTTTAGCTACCATGACTGATTGGGAAATGGTTTTTTATGGAACAATATTACCTCCAGAACAAACACATATACTTCCAACAATAAGTATAAGTCAAAACCTGACATCAGAAGATGAACCAGAACAAAATTTCAAATCTGGGCAATGTCGAGTGACCACTGATAAATGTTTAGGTTTGTTATTAATTTTATGTGCAATAATCCCTTATTTCTAACAGGGTAAATAAATTAAGGTTTAATAAAGTCTTCCCATAAAAGTGCCATATAAATTGCTTCAGGCTTTAATTTTTGTGAGACCCATAGATAATTATAAAAATTATAATCACGTTTTTGGTTTTATAAATTGAGAAACGGTACTTTAGGTAATCTCCCTCCACTGGCCAATATAGACCAATTGGCCACTGTCGGAAATCTCGAATTCGTTATCGTACTTTGATCTGTTGAGTACCTATTTATTTTGATATATTCAAGTCAATCACTAGTATAATTTTGTAGATCCAATAAGTAGAGCTACAAATATTAAATGCTTATGGCAATTTACTAAAAATAACGAGAACTCTTAGTCAATCCCTATATAGGTAAATGTTTGAACCGTCAAAAAATACTAAAACATTGACTATATTTACTCAAAAAATATTACATTGATAAATTAATGTCTCCTTTATAAATGAATTTGTGCCTACCATTAATTGTATACGTTTTCTAAATTTATTCATCATTTTAAAAAGTAGTTATTTGTTTATTATAAATTATAATTAACAATATGTTAATATTGATATATTTTTTTTTTTTTAGTTGAAATGTACAATCTATAGACATAATAAGTATACAGGGTGATTCTTTTATCATTGAACACTCAATATTTCAAAAAAAGTATTAATGTTTTTGAAAATACTTTTTTGTATAGTTTCAAGTTGTTAAAAAAACAATGTTTATATTAAAAAATCGTATTTTTAAATATTTTTTTAAGTTTTTACTTTTTTGAATGATAACATAGAGTTTTAATTTCATATTCCAAAGCAGACTATTTTGATACATAAAAATTGAATTTAGGACAAGTAGTTTATGAGTTATAAGTATTTAAAGTGTAGACAAGCGGAGTAGTGGAAAAAGTTTTGATGGGTAACCCAGTACATCTTATTTCCTTCCATATAAACTTTAAATATTTATAACTCATCAACTACTCGTCCTAAATTCGATTTTTATGTATCAAAATACTTAGAAAATAGTCTGCTTTAAAATATGAAATTAAAACTCAATGTTATCATTCAAAAAAGTAAAAAACCTTAAAAAATTATTTAGAAATATGAGTTTTTAATAAAAACATTGTTTTTTTAACAACTTGAAACCATACAAAAAAATATTTTCAAAAACATTATTACTTTTTGAAATAATGAGTGTTCAATGATAAAAAATCACCCTGTATATGATATAAGAGTATTGTATAAGACAGATAACATGAGGATACAAAATATTGAGTTAAAAGCCATTCAATTATGACACTTTATTGATATTAATATAACACAATAATATGTTATTCTGTGTTACTGTGTATTACAAATAAATATTAATAGTAAACTAAAACTGTGAACATAAACTTGGCGTTATTAAATAATTAAACATTATAATAGCTATACCTAGTACCCACCATATGTATTGTAATGAAGTAATAACAAATATAAATTCAAGTTAGCATACCAAATAGTTCTTAGTACGAAAACTGAATCAAAATTTCCACCGGCAGCCAGAGTACAGTAACCAAAAAATACCCAAGAAATAAATACTTTTTCTTAAAGAAAACATTTTATCAAATTTAAATATAAATTCATTATAAATCTTATTTTTTAATGTAATGATGTTATATATAACCACAATTAAAAGGTCCTTATTATGTTCTTATACAAAAAGTGTATTGCAATGGTTAGGTTAAATTAAAAATTACTTTTATATTGTTGTAATTATAAATATAATGTGTCATAATATTATTTATCTATGGGTCTTGAATTTTACATTATGAAGCCTTTTCAGTTTAAATTAATTTTTTTCTGGTACTTGTTTGTTATGACCCCTGTGATAATGAGTTAGACTTTGTGTTTCAGCATAATATTAAGAGTGAAATTACATACTAGGTTTTTTGAGTAATTGGTCTATTATTATTATGAAAGGGACCCCCAGCTTACATGTATGAATGTAATTGCATAATGGCTAAGTTTCACTCATAAACACAGTGGTTAATATATAATATGTACCAGTAGACCTGACTAATATTGTGGGATTGTTGAATCAATACAACAAACAAGTATCTATTTTTGTTAAAACAAATAAATTTGAGTTGTTCATAATACATTGTAATTAATATAAATTGAATGATACAGATTATTTTAGTTTCTTCAAAACATAGGTGTGCGCATGGGTGTAATAGGGTATGCTTTTGCTGCACCTGACTAATCCGGCTTTACTTTTAAATGGGTAGATTGTATTAGACTAGTTAAACCTTGTAGAATTTTCATATTGACATGAAAAATTAAAATTAAAACAATACCAAATTATTAATAACCAATATGTTCCCAATATTTAGTACCAATAAATATTAATTTAATTTATAATCATACATGTTTGATAATTAAAAATAATGTTTAACTTACATCTTTACAGTAGTTACAAAGTATCACTTGCTTCAAAAATATGTCTGAGACTACCTTTTAATCTATTGTATAACTACAGCTACTCAATTAATATATTACACCTATGGATCTTTATATGAGATTTCGCCATATTGCTGACACAAATATTTTCCGCATCTAACCTAGAACACAGCACACACCTATGCAGTATGCTTTATAATATTTACTGTGTATTATAAGCAATTTCCAACAACTATATTTCCCATGAAGCCAAATTTTATTTTAGTTAGAAATATGTTGAGTAATTCAGTAATGTTATTTTAAAATAACTTGATTAAATAGAAAACTACGAATTGAGGAGTTTAAAAGTACATACTGCCAATATTTATCTTTACATGATGTCTTTTACAGAAAATTAATTTTTTTTATATACATATATATAAACTATAAACACATCACATAAAGTTAATTGTTTTAACTTTACAATTTAAATATTATAATATGTACTATATATTAATTAAAAATTGTAAATAACAATGTTATTCCTTTTTATAATAGTAAGTTTATCATAATGATTTTTTTATTTTGGTATAGTAGTATAGTACAGTAATCGTTATAGATATTTCTTAAGCCTCAATCTAAGCATCAAAAATATTAAAATAAAAATAGTAAATAGGTGAACAAAATATATTAATTGTTAATAAAATAAAAATCAATTTATAGCTGGAATTTTTAGGATGATTTTAGGAAATCATATTTTATTTCATATTTATTTTAATATTTTGACTTTATTGTAAGTGTAGAAATTTTTAAATTTAGTTTGCATTCAAATGTACCTTAAAATATTTTAAACCAATAAATATTATTATTATCTTTCATTTATTCATCCATAATGTTATAGCATTTAGTTCAATAATAATTTGAAAAAATAACATCATTTTTAAATTTTGTTTATAATTCACATAAAGTTATTTTTATATGTTAAATAATGCTGAGCATATTAATATAAAACCGTAATACTTAATGGTATGTGATATTGTTTGAAGTTTCCAAATTGTATATTATGGGCTATTATATAGTATGAGGTCTACCAGTGAAAAAACAAAAAAAATCTTTAAAAATATTTTCATTCCACCAAAAAAATGAAGTTGTTTTGTTTTGAGTTGTTTGATATCCGTTTTGTTTGCAACATAAAATTCTCATTTCTTTGCCCTTCTCCTAACATACGTACAAATTCATCTTACTTCCACACTTATTCAAGATCTCCTGCAGAAATATAAACCGGGGGGGTTTATAAATTATTAACCTATATGAGGTTAATAATTTTTTTTCTACAAGTGAAAAGACAATTCTTATTAACTAAAATAATGGCGGCCAGCACCCCACTGCGAGTGCCCGTGCACTTATTACATTAGGAATTTTCATAGTTTGCCAAAACATTTCTAATTCAATTTTAGGTGTTTGATTCATCACTTTTTATGATTAAATAAAAATATTTTGCAAATATATTGATCTTATCCATACTTTTACGAAATGTCGAAGCATTATTATCGAAAGTCTTAAAGATAAAGTGTTAACTAACAAAAAAAGATTAACCGGTATCTATCAAAGATAATCATAAGCTCATGAAAAAACCGGCCGGTTGCAGATAGACCACATCCTACAACAAATGACAACGGCCGGTAGAACTCGTTTGCTATTAGACCATATACTATATGACAGCCTATAATATAGTGTACACTGTATTTTCTTCACTAAATCATAAAAATGTTTTTTAATAGATATATTCATATTGGACATTAATTATTTTAATTGCATTTTGATCATACAAACAATTTTTAAAATAAGAACAATTATGTGAACAAAATAAATAATAATAATATATATTATGTACTTATAAATCCTACTACTTTCTGTATTATTATACATTAAAGGGCGCTTTGTACTTAACAATTGAATTACGATTTCAACTATTTACTAAAAATGTTTTCTTTAATTTGTCCTAATAAAAAAATATATACTGCCAACAATCAACATAAACTATTTGTATTTAAAACTAAAAAAATATAAATAGTGTATTCAAAAGTTCTATCCTAATATTTTGGGATTTAAATTAGTTATATTCCTGATATATTCGGTTTGTTTACCTACCTTGTGTTTTTATTATTATTGATCTATCTGTGATACAATTACAAAAACCTTGAATACTAGTTTGTACTCCATGTGCACAATTTTATGAAAAACTAGAGGAACAGTTAAGCACCTTTGATTGTCTTCCAACCTTCTCCCAAATTATGTCTTTCTGGTTATTTTTCTCTGTAATTTACAATAAATTCTTAAAATGTTATTTTCTAACTATAACTTTTTAGCACATTGCTTCTAATTTAACATGGGCCATATTACATTGCAGCTCTATTTCATCTGTACTTGAATGTTAATTAACAAAATAATGATGGTGCTCTTTTTATTGAATTTTTTATTAGTTATATAATCAACTAGATAAACAGATTATATTATATAATAATAATATTCATAAGTCATTATATTATTTATTTATTTATTTATATGTTAATATGGGACAACCCCAATTACATAATTTAAGTTCCAATGCATTTATAGTGTTACATAGAAATATAGAATACATTTAACATTAATGAAAAAGATACAATGATGCTAACTGTACAAAAAACTAAGAATGATGGATTCTCATTGGAAATATCATTTTAAATATGGAATGATAAAAATTGTAGAAATCTCCTTGGCCCTTGAATTTTATTTTTTTTTAGTTTATTTTTAAAATATTAGATTTATCAAATAATACTTTCAATTATATTTTATGCAACAAAAAACTATCATAAATTTACTGTATAATATTCACTGAACAAAATTGCGATATAATGTTGTTTTATGAATAAAAATGTTTTTATATATTATCCAAAACAATGATGTCTTTAAACATTAAAAATATATTTTAAACATATTATACTATTATAAATAATTTAATATTTATTCCCATTTATTCCCATTAAACTGTTGGTAAATTTATTTGAACTCGAAATTCATAATATGTTCTTATTAATCATAGATTATTGACTACTTTTTTACTAACCTATATTGATTAATATAGTGAAAATATATATTAACTGTAGGTAGTGATCTTTTATAATTAGTTTAATATTATTTAATATTTAGTAACAATGTAGGTTTTTAAAAAATCAAGCTAAATAATATTTGTACAATTGTCATAATATAATAAAGTAGTAAATAATGTAGCATACATTTTTATGACATGTGATAATATGACTATGCGTAAATTGTTCTACACAAATTAATTAAAAAGTAAATATATGTTGTGTAATTTATACATATATTTAAGAATTGGTGTGATATATTTTTAAGTCTATGTAATATAGTAATATCATTAAAAATTTGTTTAAATTTGAAAGTTACATTTTTTTTATCTTTGAAATATATTTACTTTCTGTAAAAGTATCATGAAATTGTATTGTATATAAACATTTAATAAATTTAAATATCTACAATTATAAGCTTATGATTTAATTTATATTGTTAATAAATTATTGTGTAGCCAATTGATCAACTGCTACTAAAACAAATATAGAAAAAAATTTGACTGTGTTTAGTTAATATTATATTTTCAATCCTACTACTATATAATAGTATTATACCACAATAGTAAAATAGCCTAATAGCTAGTAATCAACTTCATTCAAATAATAATTATTATATTTCTGTAGAATATTAATTTAATCTACCGTATAAATATTTCCATTAGTTAAAATTATTCAGGTTTAACTACTTAAAAAAAATCATAAACCAATTTTATTTAAAACAGGTAATCATAGTTATTTATTGGGTTCTTTTATTTTAGAATAATAAATTTAATAATTTTAAGCTATAGTTTAGCCATTGATTAAATAGACACTATATACATAGTAAAGTTAATCAATTGCTCAGTGTTATTTTTTGTTTTCTGGTAACAGTTCTAGCGATTTATTCTATTAGGTCTTAATGGTACTATTAATATTTAATTTTACTATAACTATGCTATAATAGATAATAACAAAACATTTCCTTTCTATATTTAGTAATTATAATTATAATTTTTATTTTTTAAAGTTTAATTTGTATAATTTTTATTCTTCCTATCTCTTAATTGGCAGTATAATTTATTGACTTCGGTATAATCACATTAGTTATAATTTATAATTAACCGTTCTATGTGAAATAATGAATTAAGTTTTAAAATTAAGTGATAGTAATTGGTTTTGGTGTGTTAATAAGTCATGTTTTAATTGTATTTGAATACATTTCTAAGTTATAAATAATTTTGAATAGCTACTTAATTTTTTGTCTAAATCAATTAAATAGATATTTTGCCAAATCAGTATTATAAAATATTAATTATTAGTCCTATGTAAATATTGTATTATCTATATTTTACTTTCATCAATACCAAAGTATGTTACGCTCAAAAAACTGTTTATCTTGTAAATAAAATTATTACTGTACTTAAATATTATTTTGTGTTTTAAAAAAAATAGGATTTTGATTTGTGTTGTATTTTCCAAATAAATTTAATCGACTAATCTTGATGTTTTTCCATTAATTACCTGAACAAAAGAAAAAGTATAATAAACTATCTCTATTTAATAATGTATATGCCATATACAAATTATTTAAACCCGCAATTTTTTTTAAAATTAACAATTTTAACTTGAAAAAAAATTACAATTTTTGTAATTTTTAGAAACAAATAAATTTGTAGATTTATGTATAAACCAATTTATATCAAAATTATTTGTGTAATCAATAATTTCATTTCATTTATAATACTGCTCGATTAATTATACAAATATGCAGATAAATACTAACAATAATTCATGAATACGAAAATATTAAAAATAGTACAAGTAACTATTTTAAATTTGAGCAAGGTTATTTTTTCTCTTTTGTTGAGATCTAACTTTTTATTTTTTATAAATTGTCAATAATAACGTATTTTTGATTGGAAATTCAAAAGGTTCAAAAATATGTTCATCTTTTATATCTCAGTTTGTAGTTTTATTTATCGTTTTTGCATATGAACATTTTGAAGAAACTGGGTATTTGAACTGAGGTTAGCTTTGAGGTTTTCAAATGGAATAAATAAATTACAATTTTTATGCTTAAAATTATGAAGATAAATTACATTTATTAAACCCTTATATCCAACAACAATAATATATATTAGTTTTAATATTGCTAATTATATTATATTTATGTAAGCTAGCCTTGAAATGATTAACAGCAATGTTGGACGATACTAATTTTAAAGTGAAGAATTATAGCTTATTTTTTCAATGACTTAACTTTACTAGGTACTTTTAAAATAGGTAGTTACTAGTTGAACAACATTTTAGACAAAATGTTTAACTTATGTATAAATTGTTTTGCATGTAAAACAATTTAATAAAAAAACACTGAAGACTAAACTACTTGTTTGTCTGTTTTTTTGATACCTTAGTATAATTTTTTTGTAATTATAACTTGACTTTTAAAAATTGTTGTTTTATTATATAATATGTGTGAAAATATTTTCTTTTTTATATATATATTAGTGTTTCATCATACAAAATATAAGTGTTTAATTTAAAAATATATGGTATTAATATATTATTATATATTTATCTATTCCGTATAAATGTTAAAACCTTGATAAATTTCCTCTCAGAATCTAAAATCAAATGTGCTATTTTGCAATTAATACAATAATGAAACTTCGCATATTGGAATGCAAAATGGGCTGTACTATTCTAACATCAACCAAACGCTTGCGGTGAGTGTACCACACAGCTTTGCTTTTAATTTGTAGCACTAAATAAATTGAGCTTGTCATAATTATAGCTTTATTAAAATATATTATTTGCATATTAGAAAACAGCTAATTTTCATTTATTGCAGAATGTGCGTTTGGATACAACATATACAATGGAGAATGTATTGTCAATTGTCCAGTCAAAACATTTGAAGACAATGGCGGTGTATGTTCTGATTGTCACTATACATGTTATACATGTAACGGACCAAATGATTATCAGTGCACAAAATGTTGGGGAGATGCAGATCTGACCCATGCGTTGGGACAAACCTACTGTTATTCAAAGAATATTAAGCATTTACTAGATGATAAGACATGGCATATAATAGCAACAGTACTACTAATCATCAATATATTTGTACTACTTATATTCTGTAAAGGAGGGTTTTGGACAAACTATAAGCCAGGATTAGAGCCAGGATATGGAGATTACAGACTAGCGAATCAAATTGAAGGTGATGACTGTTGAACACATTTTTTTTTATTTTATTTAGTGTTCAAGTTTTGATAGTGCTGTTAAAAAATTTAATTTTAAGAATAGACGTCCTTATTAAGCAGTTAATAATTCATATATTTATTTTGTTAACTATTAAAATTATATATTTTATCTTAAAACTTATAGATGTTATTTTGTTTATTATTTTTATACAAATTAATTTATAAATTCAAAGAAAACCATTTATTGAATACTCCAAGCCATATATTATTTATCATCAAAATATAATAGGTTTGGTATAATTTTAATACAAAATTATTTGTCTTTCATATTTTAACTTAATACAATGAATTCATTTGATGTTTGTAAAAATACAAAATAAGAATT